TGAAACARGTGTAATTTGATTAGGAGGACAGGAGAGAGAAGCCGTCATCTGTAGTACCGAAGGAGGAAGTTTCTACCTGTCTGATGACTTGTAGTCAAAACACTGCTTCTCTGTTCAGCAGGAGAGAGTGAGGTGAAGRAAATGGGATTATTTTGTAACTCCTAGGAACACTGTCCTTCCATTCTCCTGTTTTCCTGTGCAGGCAACTAGAATAGATTTAACCTCTACTGGGGAAGATAAAAGGTGTTTAAACTGCAGGAGAAATTGTATTTGTCCATCACTTAGGAAAGCAGCAGAGCAAATGGGACCCTGTCCAGCTGGACCTTGCCCTTAAACTGCCAGGTGGAGACTGGTATGAGACGAGAGGGAGATGGTGCAGCCCAATAACTGAGCTCAGAAGCCCTTAGAGAAGAGAAGAGCTGTGTTTTGGGCAGCCTGACGGACAGACTTGCGTATACAGACTCTGTCTTGGAGCTCAAGCCAGCTATCAGGTGTTCACCAGGAACTGTTCTCTTTGTTGTATGAAGAGCAAGTGGGATTTTTTTAGCTTTATATTGTAATACAGTGGTCTGCTGTTTTTATGGACTCCCTTCCATTGCTGCAYCCAGTGAAGAGGTTTAGCGTTTGATCACCCTAAACTTATACATTTAGCAGAATGTATAAGTTTCTTAAAGGCATCATCAGCATCTTTCTAGTTTGTTTTTTTCTTTTTTTTTTTTTTAAACTTCAGAGCATTGTCTTATTCTGGCAAGTTGTCAACATGTGTATTACTGTTGATTTTGCAATTTGAGGTTGAAGCTCCATCTGGCCCAGCCCTTGAATATTTAAWAACAGTAATGCTTCTTGGTGGGAATCGTACCCCTCCAAAAAAGACGTAATCTTTAGAAAGTCTTTCCTCAAAAAAAGCTTGTATTTCTGTGTTCAAGAGGTGCAATATACCAATTGTTTTAAAGAAACTTATTAGAGGAGAAGGCATTGTTCAGGAAAACATTGAAGAATTGTGTTTAAACCTGCCAGACACTATGAAGAAACAAACCATGCCAATGAAAGCTATTTAATTTATATTTTAAAAAGTCACAAAAACATAGTGGGTGATGAGGGAAAGACAGCTATTCACCCTCAGAATAWAGTAGCAAAACCCACATCTAGAACAGTATGATGGAAAGTGCTCCTCATCTGAGTGTTTGTGGGAATTGCATGCCAGGATCACCTAAAACACTGACCAAAATTATTTTTTTTTAATGCAAACTGTGTAAATCAATTTATAAAAGCTTCTAGAGAAATCAAATATGCATCTGCATATTTTTGAACTTGTTTGGAACTTGGTTCAATAAAAAGCTCTCTGACTTGGTTTTGGTCATAGACATGTTGGGTATCTATTGAATATTTTTTGTTTCTTTTGAATTTGTAAGCAATCGGTGAAATGCAACCACTCAAGAAAGAAAATGAAACCCAATCTGAGATTYATTCAAACAGCAGGAGTTCTCTTCTCCACAGGTGCTTATTACTGTGTTACACATAACCGTAATAGCTGAGCCCCATCAGCTGTGGTTTGTGATGTGAATAAATCCTGTCATTCGTGGTTCCTGCTGTTCTGTGCTTACCCCAACGGGGACATTTTTTATGCAGTTGTATTCCTTTATTTGCACACATATTCTGTGTCTGAATCTCTGAATACATTACATTCTCTCCTTGGAGAGGTAAGCACACATGAGGGCACATTCACAGAGGGAGAAGCATTCTCCCTCTTGTCTCTGTCCCAGCCCCCTCATCTGTGTGCAGTTGGGGGAAACAGTGTCTGGGTGGTTCGACCTTCTTAGAAATAGGAGGTCACTGTTGCCTTTTTGGAAGCAAATTTCACTTCATGAGAGAATCAGTTGTTTTTGGCTGATCCCTTTCCTTAGAACATTCTTACAATCTTCTTGCATCAAGCCATATGAGCATCCTGAAGGTAAATTCTGAGACTTTCAAACTGAAGATGCATCAAAGTTCAGCTTCTGTATTTCAGTGCAACAAACTTTCTCAGTTGATCCATATGGAAGCCCACATTAATCATCCCACTCATGGTGATCATGCCCCTGGAACTATGTGCCRGTAGGGTTTTCTCAGGATTGCTGAGAGTAAACCAGTACCTACTCTTTTTACTGCAACTAATTTTCCTCAGACCAGGCAGGTTGAATTGCCCACCAGAGTTATGCAGCCCATGTTTGAATATGGAACCCATGTTTTGCTTCCAAGGAAGGAGTGTGGTGAGGAGCCTTTTGGCTTCTAATGACAAGTCCAGTTGACAGTGCCTTTTGCCATTTGACTCCTTATAGATACTGGAATAGCCTTTGGCAGGCAGTGCGTGAGAGCCTTGATTTGTTACAGCCGTCAGAGAGATGTGCGTTGCTTTCTTTATTGTTCTGCCTGGTTTCCTGTGGAAAKGAGGATTTTTCTGTCATGTTTCTCTTTGCCAGCCTGTCCAACCCTATCCTATTTACTTTTTTGATCCCTTGGCCAATTTTAGCCCTATTTAACACTGAGACAGATGTCTTAATGATACAGAGTTCTACCACTGTAATGAATACTGGCAGACAGATAGAGGAGAGAGATGTAATTAATGCCTGTTCTGATGAAAAGATTTCAGTGTGTGCTCAGCTTTTTCTAKGTATCAGTCTTTATTAGCTCTGTTGTGAGTGAAACTGCCTGGTTTTATATTGTAAGCATTATTGTAGCACTTTAATTGGTGGCTTTGCTTCTGTGGTTTATCTTGCTCTGATGCATTAGAGCTCTGATGCATTAATGAGGGTTCAAAATGCCACTGAGCATGACAAYGGTGAGTGTGTGGGCTGATGATACCAAGTATGAACATTACTGATTCTAGGAGGTAATAGAACTCAGTAAGGACAAAAATCTCTTCTTTCAYCCCTCCTCCTGACCCCAACTCCTTAGCTGTTCTCATTTTATGGGAAGGCCAGCATCTGCTACCTGGGGTCTCCATTCTGACGCAAGCATKGCAGCTTCTTGGGCTGCCAAACACTTTTCCATGCCAGAAATTTTCAAATCATATATTCCTCACCTTCACCGGCTTTTGCTCTGGGACTGGGTTTTTTGCCTGACCTCCTGTGCAGAAACAATGCTGCGTCTCGCTCCATTTCTGCAGGGTGTCATGCCTGCCTTGGTTGGAGGAGTGACATGGAGACAGTTCACTTCCTCTCTTGTTCCACTGGAAAGATTGTCCATGTAGTGCCATGGTAGGAAGGAGCAATGGAGATTAAGACAAAATAATCTAGCCATCCCATTGAATCTCTGGGATAGTTCCATCAGTTTACCCAAGGGAGCCAGTTTGACTTCTRTAATTCAGATATTTCCTCTCTTACATGATAATCACTTACCTTYTGCATCTTGCACATTCTGTAAAAATGTGGCAAGACAAGCATATTTTACCATCTGGACCAAAAAAAAAAACCCAAAATAAAAGGATTGTTTACTTGAAAGTCCACAGAATATCTGTTTAAGCACCTAGTCTGATTTAGTCAAACCCTTCTACAGGATACAAGCAGCAGAAACACACACTTTTTTCAAATTTTGAATTTATAAAAGGCATATATGGGGAATATGGTTAAATATGATGTATATGCAAGTTCAAAAATTATGTAATTTAGATCACTGCTTTATTTGTCTTTTAGATTTAGGTTTAAAATTGACTTGACAGACTTTCATAAAAACTTGCTGGTTTTATTTTGACCTATCAATCTGAGGCRGAAGTGGCAAATAAGATGATGTACAGCTCAGTTATGTGATTCTTTTTAAAATTCCAGGCTTGGCTCATAATAGTGTTCACAGATGATGTTGGTTGAATTCCTGAATAAGTATGCAATAAGTGTACTTTTTTTTTTCCCTGTAGCAAGATATTAACATTAATTTAAGATTAATTTAAATGTTTAAGTCAGCATGTCATGACGAAGTCTTCTTGCAACTTAGTCTGTTTTGTGGTACCTCTCAATTTTGTTTAGACTTTTGTGTTACTTTAGTCTTGTAAGTGGTTTTTACCAGCAACTGGAAATAGTAAGGTACTCACCATTAATTCTGAGAAATAGAGAGAATGAATACAAGCATGTGCACACTATGTTAAAAGCTTTTATTTTACTTGTTTTTCATTGACTCTAATTTTTCCATCTCATAGGGTATGTCCTCGCTGTACATGTCAGAGAATGTTTGATGAGTTTGCAGGCTTGTCTGCCTTCACAACTCTTCTTTCTGCATGCTTTTTTAATTACTCCTATCATGGAATATATTGCCTCTTTTGCAAATATCAAAAGCACTGTAAAATGGGAGATAGCAATTTACTTAATACCGCACATACACAATTTACTTCAAATTTTTTCAATAAATGAGGTCTTCTGCTGGAATACTGGAAACTGTATACAGAGCACCTGCGAACACTTTCACAGTTGGTAGTTGTTTTAATAGGGGTTCTTACTAGTGAAGCACCCAAATCTCTCTGAAATAAAGGATGTCATTAACATTACTTGACAAATTGGAGCTATTATGAATAATATGACCCCATGGGTCAGAAAAAAGCAAACTTTTTGTTTCCAAAGCTATCGGTCAGAAAGATTTTTTTGTTACTGTGCACCAAGCTTTCTGACTTCCATAAACTGATTTTTTGCTTTGTAAAGGGTTCTGAGAGCAGTCCTGAATTTTCACTTCCATGGCTTGGCACATCTGGAGTGCCTGGAGCAGCAACTTGACTTTCCTTAGAATTCTCTCTCTGGAAATGAATAAATTTTGCTCTGGTTTGTGACTCAGGGAGAGTTTAAATGGGTTGGCCGTGGGTGACCTAAGGGAGCATGGGAGTTTTTACTTCCCAATTCTAATTTAGAATATGCATTTTGCATATTCATTTCACACCTGCAAAAGTTATTTGAAGAGTAGAACRTGAGTATGTGGAAAGAGGAGAAATATTTCCCATTGAAATTTTGTTTATATTTTTGTTCTTTTGCCTTTTGTTCCAGTGAAATGAAGCAGAAGTTGGATGAAGAAGGCAACAAGTGCAGCATCCTTTCCAAGCAGCAGAAGTTCAACGAGCACTGCTGCATTCGCTGCTGTTCCCCTTTCACATTTCTTATCAACAGCAAGCGACAGTGCCAAGACTGCAAGTACAACATCTGCAAGAGCTGCAGCACTTACCAGAAGAAGGAGAARGCTTGGATTTGCAGTGTCTGTCAGCAAGCAAGGTAAAGGTCTGTTGTTCAGCAACCTGTGCAAAGCAGCTGTGGCCCAACCTGAGCTTTTGCTTGTGTTTGTCAGTAGTGAACTGTGGTGGGTTAGGACATGAAGTACCTGTTTTTGTAGGGGTTGATTTGTTCCTGACGTGCCTGTTTTTTTGCAGAGGTTAATTTGTTCCAAGAGTGTTTGGTTACCTGTTGCATTTTCCAGGCTTGTTTAGCWGGGCTGATGTATCAGCAACCAGTGATTGGGCATAGCTGGTGCTGGACTGGGGACTCCTGAAACGCCTGGGTTACTAATGGAACCTGAGCACAGATGGTGCTGAGGCACTTAACAGTTTGGCAGCTGATCCCCCTGATGGGTYGGGAATGGAAGGAAGAATATTTGTGAATAGATCATCCAGCTGTGACTGGTTTAGAGTGCTTTTCTAAATGCCAGCTCMTTGGTGGGGATGCCTTGAGCTGACTTTGGCAAGTACCCAAAGAAAATAGTGATGCGACCTGTCATAATTCATAACATCTGTTAAGGTTATGCTGCCAGGGCTTCTGTTTGCAGAGGGTATCAGGGATTTACTTTCTCATCCTTCTGAGGGTAGAGCCCCAGCATTTAAAGATAGCACCAGAAAAACAAAGCAAAACACTTAAAATTAGCAGAGGGGGCATTCCTTGGATGGTGACTGTGATGGTCCTTGTCTCAAAGTTCCAAAAGCCGCCGTAGCTGTGGTGACGTAGTCCTGACCAAGACCCTTTAACTCAGACAAGAAGGGTGAATGAAGTAACTCAGTTTCTCATGGTTTATTTTGGCCATTGGTGGCTCAGGCAGCTGAGCATATGTGACAAGGGTGGCTGTTTGTTTTCCATCTTTGGTGGAGAGTGCAGGATGAAGACAACAGACAAGTCCCTTTGTGATGCTCTGTGGTATTCCTGTGCTCACCAAAGAATCATTTTTCCTTCTTGATTCCCACCAAGGCCCACTTGAAATTAAAGCTTTCCGACACTTTCTGTGAATTATGTGTGTGGTCTTTGACACAGGTCCCTAAAATCATAGGGATTCCAGATGGACAATGCTATATTTCAAAACAACAGCCTTTGAAGGTGAAGGTGGTTGTTTTCTTTGGGGTACCTGATCCTYCTCTGCTTTTTACTCTGGAAAACCTGCAGAAACCTCTTTTTCCTGGTGAGGAGGTGGATGAATGACAGAACTATCTTTTCCAGCAACACAGAGAGCTGGAAGCCAGTGCTTGTTTCTGCCTGAGTCAGTCAACCATTTCATATTACACTTCTTTCTTCCATTTATCCTGAGTTCATCCATATGTGCAGCAGCACAGCAGCCAGGGCTGTGGATGCTGATGAACTGCACTKAAAATATCTTTTGCTGACTCCACAGAAAATGTCTCAGAAGAATTWAATTTCAGAAGAAAAATCTGTAGCTATATTATAAAAAATGCTATTTCTGACCCTTGAAGTCAGGGTTTTTCCCAYAATCCTGTGTAGCCCTCAGAGTCACCCACCTCTAACTCAGTTATAAACATTTTCTTTATTTATGAGACCTGAGACACAGCTTGAGTTATTTTTCAGTGAATAAATTAACTAACACTGCTCCTAATTGTTTTATGTTTCGGTTTATTGGACTGTGGTACTTAAAAATCCCTGTACTTAAAGCAGGGGCTAATATTTCTCAGGGACTGCTGATGTATTTTGATTTGGTGGGGGCTTTTTTTGGCTGTTTTGGGGGGTGGTGGGGTGCTCTAATTTTTGGGGGTTTAAATCTCAGTCAGTGTTTCTTCCAGGGAGAAACACAGGGGACAACACAACACTCTGTTGGGAGTTCCTGTTGTCTTCTCAGTGACTTCTTCCTCGGATGGACCRTGCCCTGCTGCCCCTCCCCAGCTCCTCTCTGCTTGTGTCAGTTATTTTTTTCCTTTGATAAGGTAGCACAAGTAGTGGAGGTAGTTCTTGGTTTCACTGTTACTTGTCTGCACATCTTGCTGCACAATAGATCACAAGCTCTAGTGGGCCACAAATATCTGAAGACCATGTCCTGTTTGTGCTCTTCAGCTCCACATTACAGCTGTACTCAAGTAACGCTGAGTTTGATGCCYAGGTTGTATATAGAATATGCCAACAAGTTCTCTTGATGTTGGAAAAATTTTTCTCCAGTATAAAAGGCTATAAAGGAGACGTAATCAGGTGAATCACTTGTAAGATATAAGTGATCCTTTAGTCCATCTGCACGTGTGAGAATTCTGAAAAGTTCCTGTATAATGTGGGAACCAGATGACTTGTGGATGGTTAATTTTCTTTTCTTTTTTTTTTTTTTTTTTTTGTAATGCATCATATAAACATCCCTTTGATCTGGATTTAAAATCCTTCTGGGAGCTGTAACCTTTCATTTAGACTCTCTTATTTCCTATTGTCTTCTTCAAATGAGTGGCATCAATTTTGGTAGATTGTAAACAGCCTCCTSATAGATTCCCATGCCAAGGTGATGTTGACACTGAAGAAGATMTGACATGTTGAGTTAGTCTTTCAAGGTTTGACTGGCTATACCTGTTCTGTTGAAGATGATTTTCATCTTCCAAGGCAGAGATCTACATTAGCATTTAGCAGAGAGCAAAAGTTCAGGTCGGCATTCGAAACATAGACTATTGGTAAAAATTAGTCACAAAAGTTAGTCTCTGCTTCTTACGAAAGCAGAAAACCCATCAATAAGCCGATGAAAACTTCTGTGTTTCAGTTCTTTTAAAGCACATTTCCTGTTGCAATGCATCTTTTCAAAGTTAGAAATGAATTTCATGCTCAAAAATGTCTTTGCAGCAATGTCTGTATTGATCTTGTGAGGAACAGGAGAACCTTCCTCCAGTTTCCCAATTTTCCAGGTTTTGCACATTCTACAAATGCATTCTGATTTTGTCTCTGAATACCATTATTRATGTTCTCAGGGGTTTCTTTGCTCATGTGCATCTCCTAATCTGTAAGTACTCTATGACAAAATTATATAATCCTCATTTCAAGTATTTTTTATTTGTGTAGAGTGCAGTTCTGTTTCTCCCAAAGCTTTGTACAATACCTCCTTGTTAGACACCCATCAGACACTGTATTTAGGCAGTTGCTGAGGCTCTGTACCTTTTAAGTCCTCTTGGATAAGTAGATTCCAGGCACAGTTTCTTTGCCCTCTGAATTAATCCTTTTGGTGCCAGACACAGAGGTCCTTTGCTCATTTAGTAGAAATAGGGCATGCTTTTCATGTCTGAGACCACTTTCCCATTCTCCAAGGAGCCGTATCCCAGAACACCCTTCTTGTGATACTCTGCTTTCCAGTTTAAYACTTGTACTAATTAAAATAWTTTTTTWAAAAAGCATAATCTGTTAAAATGCATGTTTGTGTAGGTTTTCTRAACTAATCACGTTTTACTTCTGGACTGTGGTATGAGTGTACTGAGTCCAATCCAAAATAAGGTGTACAAACATCTGGCTGTCCATCTCAGCTTTTTGTGACTATCATGCATGAATCCCCCTGCATTCTTGGTTCACTTCCTCTGGTCTCACCATCTGTATGTCAAAAGATTTCTGTCTCTGTTGTGAGTGGGWGCATGGGCACCTAATCATGCCTTCACATCCATCTGGTGTGTGATTTTCTCACTTTTTTTTAAAGCTCTTGCTCAAATGGTGAGAGTTCATCACTTAGTGGACTCCTGCTTTGCTTTCTTCAGCCAGGCCATGGGTAAGAGGGTCTGCAGGAAGTCAGTTTTCAGCTAAGAGCTGCTTTGGTGGTGGTGGTCCTTTGCTAGTAACAGTTAAGAGGCAGAGACCCAGTCACTGATCCTTTTCTCCTTTATGTCATTAACTAGTGAAAAACACAGTCATGCTGCAGAGACTCAGACTTCTTGCAATCAAAATAGTGTTTTGGGTGGCTCAAAATTGTCACACTGCTTGCTTGCAGTGCAGATTTAATTGAATGTTTAAAGAGAGCCACTCTTTTTTTTTTTTTTTTTTACTTTTGTTTTTGTACTCCCAAATTAAATCCTGCTTTTCAAAAGAAGAAAGCAAGAGTATATCAATTACATTCATTGGTTCTTCAATCCAGAGTTATTGTTGAATAACTATGCTTATTCCTTACATTTTCTTCTGAGCGTGTTGAGGTGCCTGGTTGAATATACCTAGACTGTAACAATTTACATCCGTGGCAAATGTAATTGTCTTATTGGAACTTGAAATTTAGTTAGACTTTGACTAATTAGATGTGCATTAGGGTTTTGCATGCCCATCAGAGTGAGATTTGAGAAAATGTATTAAGGTCTAGTCTACCTGCAACTAGAATGTATTGGAATTAACAGTGATGTAAAAATGGAGCAATACTTCTGATAAAATGAAAATTGCAACRGAGAATAAAAGTCTAGGCTCACTTGGCAGGCAGAACACTCTTCAAATAGAAACGAGCTTTGCCAGCCTCAGCAACAGTCCTCAATAAAACCTTTATATTTCATATAGTTTTGTTTGGAGRTCTCTGTAAAACAATGTAATGTGTTTTAATGTCAGCAGAACAAAGCATGTATTTGTGGAAACATGATAAAGTTGAAGTTAGCCCGCCAAAGGCATACATCTCTTCTGCTTAGCTGATGCCAGTTTTACTGTAAAACTCTTTRCAGTCTCTATAGGCAAAAAGAGAAAAAAAGCACCAAAATTTAGCAAAACCTTGGTATGGTATTTGAGGATAAGAAATATTTCTAGTTAGTAAATRAACTTTGTATTTGTTTGTCGATGCATTTGGCTGTAACAAAACGATCAGTTTCAGGACTTAGTTGTGGAAAACTAAGGAAGATACRGTGCTGCTTAGCAATTTTGTTGTGCTTTCAAGCAGTCTCAACCATCTGGCAAAAGGAAGCCGAAATGTATTTTAGGTAGCCTGCCTCAGCCATAGCTTGGAACTTTGTGTATAGTTTTGTGACAGTTGCTATTTCTGCTCTTTGAGGTCCCTGTCTGACATTAGTGAGAACTTCTATGGAGCT